GGGCTTTCACCCCAGAGCCTTTTTAATGAGGGATAGGCTGAAAAAAGTTAGGAAAGCTGAGTATACATATTGTTTATTGAATTGTCTGTACCTACATCTACAGTATATCACAGAAGTGAGTACACCCCCTCGCATTTCATAAATATTTTAGTATAACTTTTCATGTGACAACACTGAAGCAATGACACTTGGCTACAATGTCAAGCAGTGAGTATACAGCTTGTAGAACAGTGTAAATGTACTGTCCCCTCAAAATAACGCAACACCCCCCCATTAATGTCTAAATCATTGGCAACAAAAGTGAGTACACCCCAAAGTGACAATATCCAAATTGGACCCAAGTAGCCATTTTCCCTCCCTGGTGTCATGAGACGGGTTAGTGTCACAAGTCTGAGATGTGAAGGGGGAGCAGGTGTTATTGCTCTTACCCTATCAGACTGGTCATTGGAAGTTCCACATGGCACCTCATGGTAATGAACTATCTGAGGATCTGAGAAAAAGTGAATTCTTGCTCTACATAAAGATGGCCTAGGCTATAAGAAGATTGCCAAAACCCTGAAAATGAGCTGCAGCACAGTGGCCAAGACCATACAGCTTTTTAACAGGACAGGATCCACTCAAAACAGGCCTTGCCATGGTCGACCAAAGAAGTTGAGTGCCCGTGTTCAGTGTCAAATCCAGAGGTTGGCTTTGGGAAATAGACATATGAGTGCTGCCAGCATTGCTGCAGAGGTTGAAGGGGTGGGGGTCAGCCTGTCAGTGCTCAGACCGTATGCCACACACTGCATCCAGTTGGTCTCCAGGGCTGTCGTCCCATCTAAAGATGATGCACGAGAAAGCCCACATACGGTTTGCTGCAGACAAGTAGACTAAGGACATGGATTTCTTGAGCCATGTCCTGTGGTCCGATGAGACCAAGATAAACTTATTTGGTTCAGATGGTGTCAAGGGTGTGTAGTGGCAACCAGGTGTGGAATGCAAAGACAAATGTGTTGTGCCTACAGTCAAGCATGGTGGTGGGAGTGTCATGGTCTGGAGCTGTGTGAGTGCTTCCGGCACTGGGGAACTACAGTTCATTGAGGAAACCATGAATGCCAACATGTACTGTGACATACTGAAGCAGAGCATGATCCCCTCCCTTCAGAGACTGGGCTGGAGGGAAATATTCCAATGTGATCTTGACCCTAAACATACCTCCAAAATGACCACTGCCTTGCTAAAGCAGCTGAGGGTAAAGGTGATGGACTGGCCCAGCATGTCTCCAGACCTAAACCCTAATGAGCATCTGTGGGGCATCTTGAAATGGAAGGTGGAGGTGTACAAGGTCTCTAACATCTACCAGCTGTGTGATGTCATCATGGAGTGGAAGAGGACTCCAGTGGCACCTGTGAAGCTCTGGTGAACTCTGTGTCCAGCATGTCTCCAGACCTAAACCCTAATGAGCATCTGTGGGGCATCTTGAAATGGAAGGTGGAGGTGTACAAGGTCTCTAACATCTACCAGCTGTGTGATGTCATCATGGAGTGGAAGAGGACTCCAGTGGCACCTGTGAAGCTCTGGTGAACTCTGTGTCCAAGAGGGTTAAGGCAGTGCTGGAAAATAATGGTGGCCACACAAAATATTGACACTTTGTGCTCAATTTGGACATTGTCACTTAGGGGTGTACTCACTTGTGCTGCCAGTGGTTTAGATATTAATGGGAATGTGTTGTGTTATTTTGAGGGGACAGCACATTTACACTGTTCTACAAGCTGTATACTCACTGCTTGACATTGTAGCCAAGTGTCATTTCTTCAGTGTTGTCACATGAAAAGATATACTAAAATATTTATGAAATGTTAGGGGGTGTACTCACTTCTGTGATATACTATATGCTGGTATTCCCAAATAGCTCTTTGCAGAGCAGTTCCTCTTAGGCAAGTCTTATTCTTCCGTATGTTTAGTGACTCTGGTTTTAATAAAATATTTTGCTCCTTTACCTGAGGCACACACTAAGCTAATGTGCCTGCAATTTCCTGGATCTGAACTGGCTTGGGTTTTTTTTTCTTCAAATTGGCATTTTCTTGGCTATTTTCTAATCACTTGGAAAGGCAAGCATAAGAAAGACCCACAACATTTTAATTCACAGCTTAATCCTAGAGGTTGTGATAAAATTAGACTAGGACTGGAGCTAATTTTTCTTTGTCAGTGTGAACATGCTCTGTGATAAATGCAGACTCTCTACTCAGTTGGCCTGAGCCTCTATCCCACATTTTTCAGTACTGATGTACAAATTGCTCATATTGTTCCATATTATTTAAAGGGCAGGTGTCATCCTGAAATAAGCCCAGGTTTTACAAATAGATTTGTCAGCATGAAGTGGCTTTAATTCTGGGTGAAAATGGCATTTTTGGTTATAGATGCAAGTTTCACAAGCCTTCAGATTAATATCATAGGAAACATTTAAAAGGCTGGGAGAAGACAGGAAAAAATGAGATACGTAGCTAGTTCATTGACAAAAACAAATAAAAAAAATCTATAGCAGGTGATATTTGGGATGGATTTGTTGTTTGCATCAGATAAGGATGGCAGTATTACTTCTGAAACTATTATTAAATCATTCATGACCTGATTAGGCAAAGGCATACATCACAAATACAGCTTCCAAATGTTTTCTTTATGATTTAGAAATTGCATTTGTTTTTACAGTATGCTGTAAGATGACTCCTTCAAGACAGTTTATTGACTAGTTATGGCCAGAAAACATTTGTTAATAAGTGTAGGCCTCCAGAAAGCTTGTTTATTTTGAAGAGCTACTCAGACAAGTCTGACAGGAGCAGCAGACAAACAATACTACAGTGGCAAAACGCTTAGTATCTAAACATTAAGTATTCTGTGATAATCCTGTGATTCATACTTTATGCACTCCTAGCAGCATTAGTGTAGCCTTAAGCAGAGAAATAGCTATGAACTGGGGAAAAATACATAGATGGATATTCTGATTTGCATCGCTATAACTAAAGAAAGCAGATGAATGACATTCCCGTCCTTCAACAGTATCATCTGACAATGGGTGCTTTTTTTTGGACCTTACACAAAAAGCTTTTTAAAAAACCTATACCAGAATAACTTAAATTGTGTATTTAAAAGCAGAAATTTTATTTATTTATTTATTTGTTTATTTGATTTATATCCCGCTCATCTGATCAAATTGACCACTCTGAGCGGCTGTAAAACTCATACAATGTTTTAAGTGTTCCTGCTTATTTTGTGCTTTTGTTCTACATGGGGAATGGCAAAGAACTATATAAGATTGGAGTGGGGAACCTGTGAACTTAAAAAGTTACTGGGCTGCATTTCTCATCATCCTTGTCTATTGGCTATGCATGGGGACTGATGGGAGTTAGAATCCAACAATAACTAGAGGACTGCAGGCCCTCTCATCATAAATACAACAAAGTCCTAGCCCAAGAAAATTCTACTTTGTTCTATTCCTCATAGCTCCCTACTGCCTCCAGGTTATTCTTGCACACCCATCTTCAACATAATTTGATTCTTACAATCTAGAACAGAGATGGACAGTTTGAAGGATCTGCTTACCACTATATACTTTTTTCAGGGGGTCTAGAACCTACAAAAAAAGGAGGGGGGAATCTATGTGGCCCATGGTCCACATGTTGCCTAGCCCTCATCTACAAACTATATTTTTGTTTTGTAAAATAAATCTGATTCTTTACAAATAGCATTTATACCTCTTACAGATTCCTTTTGGCAATAGACTGAGGCAAGTAGTTGCCTTCCTAAGAATTGTTTTAGCATCTTCCATTGAAAATATCCTCCTTACTTTAGAAAAATAAAGGCATGTAATAGTGGCATAAATGTAAGGCACTTGCTATTATATAAATATCTGTTCTGATTTACTTGCAGGGTGGAAAGATTCCCATCAGATGGACTGCACCAGAAGCAATTGCCTATCGTAAATTTACATCAGCTAGTGATGTCTGGAGTTATGGAATTGTAATGTGGGAAGTGATGTCATATGGAGAGAGACCTTACTGGGATATGTCCAACCAAGATGTAAGTGTCTTTCACTTCAGTTGAAGTACTACTATTACTAGGTTTTGTTGTCCTGTATGTTAAAATATCTTTTAGATGCAGCTCTCATCTACATGAGGTATCAAGTTTTTTTGTGATGGATTCTTATGAGTTTATGCGGTATGTCTCAAATCACATACTGAGCAATGTTCATATTTTTTATTATTAAAAATCTATCATGGCATAAGGTTCTTCCAAAGCATAATCAGCCTTGCAAATAAGGACCCTGTGAATGTAACTTTTATGTGCATTATATCTGTTAACAAATAAACATTTGGACAGATGGATGAATGTAGAATCAACTACAACTCTTTTGAAGGGAACTTCAGAAAAAAAGGGAATGTGTATCAATTTGCAACACATTTCAGACTTTGTGTGTCTGTGTGTCTCTTCTTGTGTCTGTGCAGCATGAGTGTTAATATTGATTCTGTGCCAGTTTCTCAATTGCAGATCTGTTAATACATCAGTAAACTGGCTTTCTGATTAATATTTCAAACCCCAAGGTGCCTTTAGGTTTGTATCTTTGAACTTATCATTTTCATCTAAGACTGTAAAGAATTTCATTTGGAATATATAATGTTGTTGTTGTGAAAGGTTTGAGCAACAATAATAGAACACATATCCTTGGGGAACATTAAAAAACGGCTTTAGTTAATGACCCCTTGTAAATTATGCAAGTCCCTTTAACTGTACCATCTGGAGTACTTAAGTTCATTCCAAGCAGGACTTTAAAAATTCCTGCTTTAGTATAATAGTATTGAAGAAGACGTAGAGGAATAAAATACAAGAAAATGTTTAATGAGTAGAGTCAGCCCATTGAAAAATGGTATTTAACTTTCCCTGTCAAGATGTAAAAGCAGAGTAACACGTCATCCTTCCTCACACTTGAGAAATGAAACATGGACCCCTTTAGTCAGAAGTAGAGAGGCTGAATGATGTTTGAGAACCCAGTCACCTTCTTCTGTAGAAATGAAGAGTTTCCAACATTGGTTACATATAGATAGCACTGAAGCTGAAAAGAGATTTAATTTACCGTAAATGCCTTTCAGATGTGGAATGTATTGGGCTGTAGCTCACACTTGCTTCACACACATAAAATCCAGAGCTCAGTTGTTTTCATCTCCTGTTGAAGGATTCCAAGTACTAAAACTGGAATACTTCAGAACAGACCTCTGCAAAGCAGATTGTTTTGGGCAAGATGACTGGAGCTCTAGCTTAGAGGAAATAAAAAGTAGTAAGTATGGAGACAAAGCTTCAAATGTTTTTCAACTTTTGCATTTTTGCAAAGCTGCATTATTTGTAAAGCCCATCTTTTATTAAAGACAAAGTGAGGTATACAGTGGTGCAGACGCTAGTTTGCTGATGCTTTTCATACCTGCCTGCACAACATGAATGATACCCAAATTAATTGGAGCAGTGATGTAGCTATGACTTCTTTTGCCAACGGAGGTCAATAGGATGCTAGGCAGCTCATATCACTGCCACACAAATGAAAAAGAATTAACAGTGGTAGTATGGAGGAGAAGGAATGTGCACATTTCTCTACACAGTTTTATCATGAATAAGGTTTGGAAAGTTATGTGTATATAGGGCATAGCTCTGGCCTTAGAGATAGGACTCTTTTCTGTTTCTCTTCTCTTAAAGTCTGACAGCAATGGAAGTATGAATCTGTGTTGCTTGCCTTTGTGCTTTTCTTGATTGTTGTGCGAAACCAGTTGCATAGTGGAACTGATTGGTGTCCGTGGCCAATCAATCCTTCTTCGCCCTGTAAAGACAACGAGCCAGTGTGTCCATTAGTGGCAACTGTGATGGGGTAAAAGGTTGTGACACTGGGTGCATCTGGCTGTCAGGAACCAGGTCTCGATTATGCATGAGCACATAGCTGAAGAAACAGCTAAAGAAACAGCATGTGATACAGAGCTATATGTGCAGGTTTCTGGTGTCTGTTATACCTTCAGGTTTGGATCATATACTGTAGGATACTGTTTAAAATTACTGGATACTGTTTCTGAGTGGCCTGGTAGTCCAGTTTACTTTTGTGGGTAAAGAGCTCATTGCAATTTCCCAGTCACATTGCATGAGCGATGGATAGATTTTCAGAAGAAAAAAATGGAACTAGGCATTCTTGGCAGTAGAACTGAACTTGTTATATTCCAGCCTGGAAATTTGTATGAATATATTAAATGAATGCATTTTTATAAATACATTAACAGCTTTAGGAAATCTCATTTTGATTTCACTTCCCTATTAATACGGCAACAAAAGTCTTAATGATGTCTAAAATCTAGTTATATTTTATATTGTTGTTATATATGTTGGAAGCTGCCCAGAGTAGTCAATTGACTAGATGGGCGGGGTATAATGCAATAAATAAATAAATAAATAAACAAACAAATAAATAAATAAAAATTAATGAGTGATACAGCTAACTGGGTTGGTGCATCTGGTTGTCGATCTAGTGGTTAGGAATTTGAATCTGCCCTATGCCTCCTGGGAGAGGGACCGGTTAAGATCACCTGTGGCTGATAGAATTACATGCCTTGCAACCTGTGTGGCCTTGGGCAAGCTGCATGGTACCAGAGCACAACCAGGCAGTATTTTATACTAGAAAACTCCTGGGAAGGTTGCCATAAGTGAGAATTGATGTGACACCACATAATTATTACTGTTTATCTATAGACCAATATTTTGGTTATTTTCTATTTTGGAGGATATTTATTACTCTCCCTCTTAAAAAAATAAAAGCCAGAAACAAAATATGAGTGAAAAATTGTACAACATTTCTACATCTTTAAAAGTATAACACATGCAATCTTAACATTTTAAATATATATAAAATCTTCATACACACACACACACACACACACACACACATATGTTCGTTATGCAAATTTTTAAGTATACTGTTCTTTAAAAGGAAGTAAATGTAAACAATAGCTGACTTGTATAAACAAACTTCTTGTCCTTTTCAATTTAACATATGCGGTTGTTCAAAAGTCCAGATCCAAAGCAAGGTGACTTTCTTTTATAAGCCTGTAGTTGATTGTTATTCAAATGTCTTAACAATCTTGTTATTTGCTAGGTTATCAAAGCCATTGAAGAAGGCTATCGGCTGCCACCTCCAATGGACTGCCCGATTGCTCTCCATCAGTTGATGCTGGACTGTTGGCAGAAGGAGCGTAGTGACAGGCCTAAATTTGGACAGATTGTCAACATGCTAGACAAACTCATCCGCAACCCCAACAGCTTGAAGAGGACAGGCTCTGAAAACTCCAGGTCAGCTGTGTTTTCTTAATAGTGATGGATGAGGGAAGATATTGGTAGTGACAGGCAGCTGTATCTCACCTCAGCCTGTGTGCTAAACCCGAAATTCCTTTCAGTACTCTGGTCAGTACATTTTTTAAAAAAAAAAAGTGGAGGGGAAAACAGCTCTTCATTTAGGGTACTCTGGTCTTTTTCTTATCCATTTTGCAAAAACAGTAATTCTCTTATCCAGTTTGCCCTGGATGTTTATATAACATAGAGTTTGGGCAGTTCTGAAACCATCTGTAAAATATGCCTTTTTTTCCTAATTCCAGAATCCATAGGACACAACATACATAAGGAATATGAAAGTATTTTTTTAATCCTCTTTTTATAATTAATAGAAGTTCAAGGTGCTGGTGATTTAAAGTTGTCCAAGTCTTGGAATTGCATTATTCTCTTGTTGTTGTTGTTGTTGTTGTTGTCCTTGGAATTGCATTATTCTCTTCTTCTTGTTGTTGTTGTTGTCATCGTCTTTGTATCATTATCATTATTATTAAATTATGCTCTGATACAAATAAAGAAAAAAAGATTAAATTACAAAAGAAAAGGACGAGATTCTAGCTGGACAATCTGGAAGTTACTTAATAGACTTTGAAATGAAGTAGGAAGTTCAAAGTATATTTGTTGGGCTATAAAACACCTCCCCTCAGCATCTAGAGACACCAAAATCACAGGGAAGCTTCTCCCGACTCTCCTCTACAATCTCTCCAGATTTGGTGAAGATTGGGATTCCCCAAAACAGCTGTTAAATGGCACTTTCCCGTGGGGGGGGGACCCATTTTGTTGTTGTATAACTCAGAAGTCTGAAATCCAATGGTGGGTACATTTTATAAGGTTTTAAAGCAAAAATAATGAATCAATGAATTTGTGAATCCGAAAGAAAATGTAAATTTGTTATTAGTGATTTGTTGACCTTGATGAATCACAAGTCAAAACAAATCACAATTTTTCTGATCCATGTCCATCTCTACTAGGAATGTGAAGGTCTAACCAAGTGTTTCCTAGCTGAGCAATCACTGCTGGCAGGGGATGATGGGAACTGTAGTCTAGTGGATCTAGAGGGCATTAGGTTGGGGACAGCCTTATCTGCTCTCTATTTGTGAATAACTCTGAATTTAAAAGGCAACATATTTTTTAAAAACATCTCAATAGCTCCCTGGTATTGAAAAGGACACTTTAAAAACTTTTTCGTTAATTACATAAACCAATTGCAAAGCAAAATCTAAAGGACAAGCCCTTCTCTTCCCATCCTTAGCTGAATCAAAGGAGAGGTAGGAGTACGCTCTTCCTGGAATCAGACTGGCTGGTATTCACAGGATCAAAAAGTTTTGTCCCACCGATTACATGTACCATGCTGCTCAGTGCTTTTTCTTGAACTAGCTGCAACTGTCTTGGAACCAGGCATCGTTGAGAGCCAAAGTGCAAATTATGTGGTTGTAATGTGGTTGAATCACTCAAGCATATCTGTTTACTCTTAGAAATGCACCCACTTGGCACATGCTGGCCCAGAGCAGTAAGATCTTACACTGCAAAACAGTGTGGCAAGAGGATTAGCCCTTTTCCCATTTCACTTCCAATGAAATTGGCAGCCCTTCGTGAATTTTCTATAACATACAGACCTAGTAATTTGGGAATAGAAGTGATGATGCAGTGAAACTGCTATGATTCTGACAGTGGTGCAAATGTCAGATCAGAGTCTAGGACTTCAGTCCTTTATTTTTTTTATATCTAGGATTTCACTTTTATAGGAGAAAGTCCCATTAAATTCAGTAAGCAAAATCCTTTTACATGAAGTTATGCAGTGCATCCCAGATGACATCATCATCTAGTGCTAGTGATATTTAATTTACACTAATTAAAAGTCTCCAGTGTCCCCGTTTTAGGTTCCAGAGGTACCTAGGTCTCCCTGCTGCCCTGAGCAAGCTTTCAGGAGCCCTGGCATGGAGGGAGAGCCTCTAATATTAAAACACATCATAACGGGATTGCCACCAATGGGATTGCAACTTTTAATTAGTTTGAATTAAATATTACCAGCACCAGATGATAACATTATTTAGTTTATACCACTCAAATTTATGCAAACAAGATGTTGGCCAGTATGTTATGTTTCTGAATAAACATGTATAGGAACTTTCTATATAAAATCGAAGACCTTTGGTTCCATTCTTTTGAAAAGCTTAAGCAATCATAGAGATTTTGGGGCCTCTATCAGTAAGAAACAGCAGATAATTCTGTTGGCCTAAGAGAGCTGGCTGGATAGTTCAGTGAGCTAGGTATTTGGCTGTGGAATCGGAGGTCTTATTCCTCATTGTGCCTCCTGGAAGAAGATCCAGCCTATGTGGTCTTGAGCAAACTGAACAGTCCCAGGGGACCCACCCACCCCCCGCGTGCGTGCAGAAAAAGGGAAGGGTAAACCACTCCTCTACCCAGAACATTCCACCCAGAAAACCATGGAAAGGATTAGCATAAATTGGAATTGAAGTGATGGCACATAATTATTATTATTTGGATCTTAAGAGTTGCGAATGTTAGAAAGTTGGCTTGAAAAAGCTTATTCTGCTTCTAAAGCTCTTCCCCCCCCCCCACTAACAGAATAATTTAAATAAAAAAAACATGCCTCTGCCCAATTTAGGACAGTTCCCTTTGTCCCACAGCATTGCATAGTCACAACTTGCTTCACTGTCAATAATGATATCAGTATTAATAATGCTAATTAACACTATCAATTTTGCCCCTTTAGGAGAAGGGCTACCTCTTATTGATTTGTAAGAAGCTTACAAATTAATTAAAAGCAGGGCCGTTCCTGTCACAGGTTTATAATCTAAAAAGGCAGGACTCAGAAAGCAAAGGAGATGAAGAGAGAAAAGAAAAGCAGGCATACATAGGCAGAAGTTGTTAGTACAGTATTATAAACATTACAAGCTGCTACAATGCAGCTGACCACCATTAGTTGCCTTACTTTAACCATCTGAAAAAAAAGGAGACTCTGAGAGAAGGGACCTAAAATTATCAGTATCTCAGATGGGCAGACAGAATGTCCATGCTTCCCATCTCTCCCTTCCTCCTATAGCATCACAAGTTGACTGCAGTAATCATAGTCAAGGAAAGAATGAACACCTTGAATTCTTTGAATTCAGTCCATGGATAATACAGAAACTTTGTGGAGAATTTTTCTATTTAATTTAATTTAAGGACCTCATGATGCAGTGGTTAAACTGCAGTACTGCAGTGAAGACTCTGATCTCAACCTAAGTTTGATCCTAATGGGCTCAGATAGCTGGCTCAATGTTGACTCAATCTTCCATCCTTCTGAGGTCAGTAAATTGAGTGCCCAGCTTGCTGAGGGAGCAATGCGTAGCCTACATAATTAAATTGTAAACTACATATAGTGACCTGCCTTAGTCACAGAACTGAAAGGAAGGAAGGATATTAAATATATATAAAAGAGGGATATTAAATATATATAAAAGAGGGGGGAAAAGAATAGAGAAAACAGAAACAGCTGAAAAACAACTGAGTTCTAATTTTAAAACACAGTTAAAATTTTATAATCTAGCAATCACTACATTAGAAGCATTTAAAAACCATTTTAAAACACATCAGAAAAATGTGCTATGTTGCTCACCAACACATCAGAGGGACTACAGATTCCACACAATATGTTTTGCTGGTATTTACCGGTGGGGCACCTCATTTTATTGTTTCTGTACTGCTGTAGCATGAATCTTACTTTGAAGGAAACAGAGAAAGCCACTCAGCTGAGATGAATAGAATGAAATGTCATCCTAAGAGCTTTTTATTATTATTATTTTTTGAGGGAATTGCATAATCAGTCATTTATCTTCAGGAACAAGGTGTCATAGCTGACCAGAAACAAGATGTTGAAGCAATGAGAAAATATTCTAAAAATGACACACTTCTTTACTTACAGGGAGACCAGTGTAGAATCACTCTTAAACATACCTCTTTTAAAAAAATCTAGGAGCCAACAGGGGTCAGACAGCACTAGATTCAACTACTATATTAACAATTTCGTATCATAGGGGGGAAAATTCTTATCCCACAACATTTCAAATGAGAATACCCCTTGGTGATCATTGTTTTCCATTACCAAAGGCAGATTATTAATCCTCTGGGACTGCTATCTTCCTGTATTCTCTAGCTTCTTCTAATTGCATCTGTAAAATGGTGAATGTACCTCCCTCTGTCCATGTTAAATTATTTAGCAGCTTAATCTCCTTCAATAGTTTTTGATTCTAGTTTACTTGTGAGCATAGATCTCTGATTAACCTTGGCTACTAGTCCAGTGTAGAATCTAATCATTGCTGCTTTATTTCCACATAGTAACTTCTTACACGGGTATGAAATGCAAAGCAAAATATGTGTGTTAGTACTTACATGCAGCTATCTTCAATGCAATATACAAGAATGGTTTTGTATTACTAGCCATAGTTTTCCCTTTGATCTATGCTAAATATATCTGCAATAGAAATGGGTGTGGTGACTGCCAAAAATTAGAAACAACATTCATTCAATATGAGAACAGTCCCAAACAATAGCTTATAAGGTCTGCAGTACACCCAGTCTTTGATCCTGTGTGTTTCAAATAAATTAAAATAGTAATTTTTTTAGGTGAGAAAAAAAATGTAATATTGATAGATGACAGCAATTTACTGTGGCCTACTGAGAAGTACTGCAATGTGCAAGGGTGTAGAATAATGAACAACTGTATTAATGAGTGCTTTTCTCATATTTGAAAAGTAATAATAACCTGCAGATATTTTCATTGGGAGACTGAAACACATTCCACAGGACAAAGATCAAAGCCACCATTATTCTGTGCCAGCCCTGGCACACATTATGGTCAGGAATTGATTGATTAAAGTGGATTAACTCCCTGCTGTCTCTGCTTTGTATGCGGGCACTTGGCTTGCTTGCAGACTTGGCTGAGAAGATGCCCAATAGAAGCCTATGCTAAGCTGTGAGCTTCCACACTATGGGAGCTCACAATTCCACCATGGGTGCTTCTGAATGGAGACCTGCTTTTTCATAGTAGACAAAGGATGCTTGGCATTCCTGCTGTGATAGTTCTGTCATAGCAGATTGTCTCCCCTTTAGGATCTCAGATACCTTTCCAAGTGTCACGGGCGAGACAGACTTCTACAAGCCATTACATTTGGGAGGACCAAAGTGGTTCATTTAATGTACTAGTTAGACTGAAACAGGAATCATCTGAAAATATTTAAATATATGTTGCCCTCTAGTGAGGGATGAGTTTGTATCAAACACCCTGTGGATGTTTGCTTCCTTTCTGGCTATTGTATGTCACAGATGAATGTGACAACAAAAACTTCTGACCTACCTCTGTTTTCATATCAATTGTTTCCTAAACTAAAGGCTTGCAGTCAAAATATTCATCTACACTCTTGAGTTCTGATGGTCCCTATGGAGAACTTACCCCTTTACCTATGATATGAGCCTTCAGCAAACACAGCAGTACTACTTTCATAGCAATTTATGAAGTTCTGTCTGCCTGTCTTTCACATGTGATGAGCAGTATTGCTTTTGTATATATTCAGGATCTCAGGTGACATGTTAAAGACTCTCTGTGTATGTGCACTAAGGCACAGTTAAGATGCAGTATATGGAGGAAGATGTGATTGTGAACTGATCTGTATCTAAGAATCTGATCCTAATAATACGTCTCTACATACACTGTGCATATCATGTGATGACAATGCAGTGGTGTCACAAATGTTTGAAAAAGGAATGCCTGAAGGTTGAGGTCCTATTCTCAAAAGGAGTTGATAGTAGGATCCTCACCAGTCAGGGGCTGCTAACTATAAGCATTTTCTGTTGACACTAAGCACCTATGTGCTCTTTGTGACAATGTAAATGTAGTCCTTAAACAGTCTAGAACTTTTGGTCTTGTACATTTCTGTAGGGAACAATTGTTTCCTGTATTCTAGCAACCTAGAATATATCTGTGCTACACAATTATGATGCTATACAGTACAGCACTTTAGCTACCATGGTTAACTTCCTATGGCAAGCTGGGGATTGCAGTCTGGTGAGCTATGGAGAATGGTCTGCTAGAGATTTCTAGGGCTATGGTTCAGAAGGGTTCTCGAGGATGGAATTCAGACTTCCTAACTACACTGTAAATCCCAGAATTTCATGGAACCATTTCTTTTAAAGTGTATAATTTCAAGGCTTTTGAACAGGATAAAATTCAATCTGCCAAACATTGATGAAATGTTATTTTAATCTTTCTTATTTTGTGTCCTTAGGCCTAATACTGCTTTGTTGGATCCAAGTTCTCCTGAATTCTCTGCTGTAGTTTCTGTTGGTGATTGGCTCCAAGCTATTAAGATGGAGCGATATAAGGATAACTTCACAGCTGCCAGCTATACTACCCTAGAGGCTGTAGTGCATATGAACCAGGAGTAAGTACTCAGCGGTATAACAAAAAAACTGGTAAATCTGGATTTAATCGGCTTTTTTTGCTTTGCTCTGCATATCATTATATTCATTCGAGTACTAAAATACTGTAATCTAGAACAGGCACAGAAACCTTGCATGGGCAACTCCAGATTTTGTTGGACTGAAATTCCCAGTATCTTTAGCCAATATAGTCAGTTATCGGGGATGATGGGAGTTGTTGTTTTTTTACCAAGACTATAGAAAGAGTTGTTTACCTCTGGACTAGAATGTACATGATTTCAACATGTCATTCACAGTGCCATCAGAGGTTTAAGTAATCACTTATGTACATTCACCTCGCTTTGCATTATTTTCTTTTGTGTGTGTGTGCTCGTCTATAATGTGTGTTACTGGATCTGCATATAGCAGAAAGTTCTCACGTCTGGGCTGCTTTTTTGTTTCATGCAGTGACCTGTCGAGAATTGGAATTACTGCCATTGCACATCAGAATAAGATTCTGAGCAGCGTCCAAGCAATGAGGACCCAAATGCAACAAATGCACGGCAGAATGGTTCCAGTTTGAGCCAGTACTGAACAAACTCTAAACTCTTGAAATTAGTTTACCTCATCCATGCACTTTAATTGAAGAACTGCACTTTTTTTTACTTCTCCTCGCCGTTTGAAATAATAATAATAATGATAAAAATTGTTTGCAGCATTGATTGATATATTAAGATTGCTGAGCGTGTTGAGGGGAGGGGACCTACAGAAATGACAGCCCGTCATTTGAGGACAGGCCTGGAACAAATTGTTTCTTGGAATATACTTCTATGTGGATCGACATTATGTAATATACATGTATCTATTATGACATCACATACAACTTCTGATGCTGTGTTTGCTGCCAGATACTGTGATTAAACGAAGGAAAGTGCTGTTGTTCCCTCAACAGCCACTGGAATTACAATCATTGTGTTTGATCTGTGGCATAAACCACAGTTTTTCATCTTTTATTGGAATGAAGAATCTTCTGTACCAGGATATGTTGGCATATTCTAAGCACCATCCGTGGTACCTTGCAGAAAACATGAGGGAGAATATCCTTTGGCTAATTAGTGCCTCTCTGTGGAAATGTTGTCCAGTTGCCAGTGGAGACAGAGAACCGCCCTTGTGGATTCCTGGATTTATTTTATTTTTATTTTAATATTTTGGAGTGGGAAGTATCGGTTGCTGCTGTGCCACTCTTAAATCTTATTTCTGCCATCACTTAAGAAAACACCTTAGTCATCCATTCTGGACTGTGGATTTTCCAGCCAGCCGTCTTTTTGTCCTTCTAAAAGAGTCGATTGAGCTGCTTTGAAAGGTCAGTGGAAATATGACTTCCCCATAGTTTTCTTAGCACCTCCCTTTCCTTACTGGTTAAAAAACAGAATGCACTTGCAGGGTGTAACTAGTAGAATACCGCCTATGCTTAGGCTTCACAGTCTTTGAACTGCCAAGATTTTGCATAACTAGCTGCTTACATAGTATGAGAAGCAGTGTGATGTAGGGGATTGAGTGATAGTTTAGGACTCAGGAGCCCTGGGTTTGAACCCCCACTTGGCTTAAGGCTCACTGGAGGGAGGGGAAATTGTAAACCCATTCCTTAAAAATCTCTTTTACCTTGAAAAACCTATTAGGGCCACTGTAAATCATGTCTGGCTCGACAACACATAACAACAGCTATTTATAAGCATCATCATCTTAGGAGAACTGGAAGGGATCCTATGGATTGTTAAGTCCAGCCCCTATCAGGGAAACACAGTGGGGAGCTGAACTCCAAGCATCTGACTCCACAGCATAAATAAACCACTGAGCTATCCAGAAGTTCATATTGATCAAACATTTTTAATCACTTATCTCTGAAAAGTATTCATTGTTGTTAAACAAATAGTGTATGGAATGCTAATAAAAGAGAAATATTTCATTTAGTCCCCCTCTTCTCCATCAAAAGTAGTGCACTGCCCAATTCTGGGTATGTTTGTCCAGCAGTGCCACTGAATTTAATGGAGCTTATTCCCATATAAGTAGCATAGAAACCTTCATATCTTAGCCATTGTTTACCTGCAAATCTTAGCTACTGTTATGGCCAAAGCAGAGACCGCTATTAATGATTTGGTGCAGAGGATATGAACATAATGAGGTGAAGCCATCTGTTAGAACCATTTCGACTGAACTCGTTATATGGCGGATGGCAATGTTGCCCTATTAGATCTTCAGCTCTGATTCCCTCCACCACCTCTTGTTCTGTTTGTGACAGAAGCTTCAGCACAGAAAGAAAATGACACTTGAGCCTGATTTGTTAGAATTCACCACATTTATTTGGAAGCCAGGAGCACTGAGTGAATTGAAGAAGTCAAACCTGCCATCTTTCCAGTGTCACTCTTGTCATTATTTTTGTCACTTGTAACAACAACTTACTGATTTTAACCACAAGCTTCCCCTATGAACTTGAATCTGAAGGCAAGTTGTTTGGAACAGGAGATGCTAAATTTGGATCCTGTCAAACTCTTGACAGCTTGTACAAAACCTTTTTGCAGAATTACCCATAAAAGCATTTCTGCTGGGAAGACTGTAGTTGTGCCGTATGCCCATTTTTAAACATGACTTACCAGTCATAGTTTAACATCACTTTCTTAGAGACTGTTAGATTTTGATATTTACTCTTTTTTTAAATTACATTTTTTATTTGGCACAGACTCTTTAGTTTCTGAAGGGCGCAAAAGATTAGAAAGCAGAATTCCCATTTCCCATCTTTCAAATTTTCTGATGATAATTCAGATTAGGCCTAGAATGAGAGAGATGGGATTTCTAAGCCTTTGTGTCCATTTATTGCACGCCCAATGAAAATTAATCCCACCTACTCAAAGTTGCTTGTTGCTTTGTTAGAAAGAATTTAATACTCAATGTCATGTAGTGGATAGGATGATGGACTGGGACTCAGGAGGTCTGGGTCCAAATCCTTGCTCACCTATTGAAGCTCGCTGAGCATGTGAAACTGGTAAAACTACTTTAAATGCCTCACTTACCTTGAAAACCCTATTAGGGTCACTGTAAGTCAATTCTGATTTGACAGCACATAACAACATAACATAACAACATAGTGAGTTTACATTGAGAGAAGGGGTGAGGAGGAATTCCCTAGGGAAAACAGCATAGCCTTCAGCCTCATTTCTCCTGTTTGTCCCAGTTTAAATTGGATTGAGATTTAGACTCACAAAAAATGCCTACAACAGCTAATAATGTCATTTTTTCCCTTGATGAGAGTCAAAGGCATACCTATTAACACACAAAAAAAACTATCTTATTAGCCAGGCTATTCATACAGCAAGTGATTAGATTATATTTTAGGGTTGCCAGCTCTGACTCATAGTGGCTGTCCAGGGTTTGGGGCAGGATCCTATCCTAGCTCTAGCTGTAGATTGTGAAAATTGAACTTGGGACCTTATGCATGCCAAGCATGTGGTGTATCCTCAAGCTACAGCCCTCCCCAGTATAGCATCTGATATTCCAAAGTGAACTCCCATCCACATAACAACCCGGCCTGACCCTGCTTAGCTTCTGGAATCATCCAGGACTGGTCACATTTAGAGGGGTATGGCAATCACTCAACCTTGCACTGGGTATTCAAAGGGCTTCTCACTTGCATTTGCCTGATGCACCATTTCTTTTCTTTCTTTCTTTTTTTTTCCTGTAGGGACAAAATAGATCCTGACTGTTTTTCCTGATGCCTGCCTTGACTTTGGAGGATAACAGATCTGAGACAAAAGCCGAATCTCCCAGTTTTACTCAGCATTGACTGTAGAGAAGACAGACCAAGTATAAGCAGCATTGCTCCTTGAAGGGTGTCTCCTGGCCTTCTTCCTTTTACGAGATTCTTTTTTTATCAGTAACAAAAAAGTAAAAGATAAGGTCCAGATATGGTTCTTTCATTGCCACTGAAGGAATGTACTGTATCAAAGCCCTACAGACTTCTTGTTCCTCAATGCATTTTCTTACAATGTTTGGATGTTTCGTTTTCCGCACATCACTGCTGCATTCGGATGAGTGTAGGTAGCAGAATCCTGCTAGTCGTCATAATGGAAGCCAGGGTCAGGTGCCGTAGCACAGAACCCAGTTCACAGAAGCTAAGACTGCATAGGACAGTGAAGTGTGCCATTGCAATATAATGTCAGTATATTTTAATAGAATGAAAAAAAATAACTTATTATCTCTTCCAGGCATGTGTGAGTATATGTGTGGCCTTGAGGGTGTGTGGATGCGTGTGGATGCTCGTGTGCAAGCATGTATGTGTGCTTGTATGTTGCCTATTGTACAGGGCCACCTGTGAACGTGTGAATAGTATCTCAAGGTAACTCAGGAGTCGGTTGATTTTTTTTTTCTGAGCTGCTGAGTTACCAGGCCAGTAGGTGAACTGTGCAACAGTCGCAACAAAACACATATGCTCCTGAATGTTACAGTTCTGCATTTCTTCATGTATTATGTAGCTGCCACACTAACCTTAATAAATAGTTCTTCACCCAAGAACAGGGACACTTTCACTTTCCTTGGGGAGTGATCCATAGTAAGTCCCACAATGGTGATCAAGAGTGACATTGATAACTACGAGTCTTATTGAGGCCTGTTTGTTACTGAAGCAGCAGTACCTTTATGGGAAGTAAGCGGACATGAAGTGTTTGTCTATCAGCAGATTGTTTTGTATCTACTAAAGATAAAGGTTGCCATTGACATTTAGTCAAGTCATGTCCTACTGTAGGGCACAGTGCTCATCTTGGTTTCCAAGCCACAAAGCAAGCATTTTTGTCCGAAGACAGTTTCTGTGGTCACATGGCCAGCACGACTAGACCTCATTTACCCTCCCAGGAAAAATAGTCTTTGAAAGACTTGTTGAATGCAAATAAACCTGTGAAGTCTAAGGTTGAACAATATTTTTATTGGATCACAAAAAAGTTACAAATAAAATGAGCTTTTCCGTTCTCCCCTTCTATCAGGCAAAGATGTTGAAAAAGGTAATGATTCCGTTAGAGGCAAGAAAGGTAGCAATATGGATTATCTCCTCACTTTGCAGATGAAAGGGTAAGGGTGAAAGAGGCCCAATAAAAGTTCACCAGTTTTCAATCTATTCCAGTCCACTAGGTGTGACTGCCAGTTTGGCTTTAACTGACTACTGCACCCAAATCTTTGCTGGTGCAAAGATTTAGACCTCGCTTCATATTTATCTATTCCTAGCTTAAGAAGATCTCAACTGCCTGTCTAGTACAAGATTGTCTTTGACACTCCCAGATCTTATATCTGGCTCACAGTTGGTGCAAAGATTGAGACCTCGCTTCATATTTATCTATTCCAAACTTAAGAAGATGCCTGTATTGGGGGGGGGGGCAAACCACTCTTTCGCCTGCTCAGAGGGGAAGAAGTGTAATTGTTACTGCTGTTACTTCAGAATATAATCTCTTTTTTGCTTTGTTGCATTTCGGCTTCATTAGCCAAGAGCATGACATTTGCCCCAATTTGTAAACTGGTTGCCTTAACCCCAAGTGTTACACCATCTTTGCCTGATGAAGATTTTTAGAGAAATTGGAAATTCATTGTGTTTGTAACTTGTTAGTGATAAAATGAAGGCATTTCCTCAGCCTTTGTTGCTACGAATGGATCACATCGTGCTTTGTGTGTGTGTGTGTGTGTGTGTGTGTTTGTGCAGAAATATGCAATCTTCATCCATTCACAGAAGTGAATTAATTGTTCAGTGGGCCACCTATGAGGACTTTGGGCCTATGGAATGACTCCCAAGTTCAGAAAAACAAAAGCTGTTGCAAGAGGGTTGCAAAAATCAGCCATGTTTGCTATGTAAATAGGTTTGCTGTAAAAGTCTGCACTAAGGTGTAGTGATGACTTTGCTTGTCCTGTGTAGGAAAGTTTACAGAGTCTGGTGAATTCACTGTTAATTTTCTTTATACCATACTCAGAGGCAAGCCAAATGCAGGAGTCTAGGGAATGGACTGCCATTCTGTATTTTAAGCTCAGCGGTTGATGTGCTCGACCTGCTTTCTGGTCACAGAAGACCCTTCCCTGTTGAGATACAGTGCAGCGGCACAGCAGACTCAAACAAGACAGGCAAAGCAACATGCCTTGGGGGAGAAAAACTCAGAGAAGGTTGTGTAAATATTGCATTAAATTTTTTTTGCCATTAAATAAAGCCCCAAAATGCTTTTTCAGGAGTTATTTTCATCCTTGTCTCTTCCCTGCCTTCCCCCTCATTTTCCATTTTTCAGATTTTTGTTGTTGTTGTTGTTGGTCTGATGAACACAGAATTGATGATCAATATTGCTTGGCTTATGCCGTTGTGCTGATAGCAGGACACAATGCTCTGGAGGAGCCAGGGGGCATGTAATGTGGACTGCAAGTACAGCAGATTCAGAGTGCAGCCAGATGTGTATAAAACATGGCTCAGATGGGGAGTAAAAGCCCTACACCAGTATTGCCTGCCCCTCAAAAAGAGAGCCCACAGAAATGGATGGAGAACCGGTCTTAAGTTTTTGTTTTCATTTTTCCTGGTTGCAGAAGAGACATCAACAGGACTCTCTTAACACAGCAAACTTCTGTACATTAAGAAATTATTCTGCTCACAACCTCACCGGTTGATGTTTGTCCAGGTTTCTTGCTGTTATTAACTTCGTGATGGATCTATGTATTAAATATATATATATGTATATGTATAAAGCAAAAAAGAAGAAGAAAAGAAACTGCTTCTTGCCAGTAAACAGGTCTTCAAAGCAGTATTTTTCTTTTATGTGGCATTTTCATAACCAGAAAGAAAGCATCCTGAATAATAATTAGACAGATAAAAAAAGAGAGTGCATTTATTTTTTTGTATCACAAGTATGTTGGAATATGCAAGGACTGTGGCTAAAGATTAGAATGTATGAGGCATATGATAATTTAGTCCATACTGAAGAAAAAAATCTTAACAGTGCATTGCTTGGTTTGCAAATTTGAATGATCTTTTGGTTAGAAGTATAGATTTTTCTATTTTGTTTTAATTTGTAATTTTTTCCCCTCTCCATCAATCTTAGGTACACGTAACTTATGTCATTTATTTATGGTCTTTTATACCTAGTTTGTAAAATTGTAAAATAGCAAACTAAATGCAAAAGTTTGCATTTGAAAATAATAAAGTAGTTGCTGTACAAACTTAAACGTGCTCTGTGATATTAAATACCATTTCTCTGCACTTCATTACTCTTTGCTTCTACACTATACAAAATCAAGTGTGTTTACTTGTAGAATATTTTGTCTAATTAATGGTGTCTCAAACAGCAGCAAGGGTGATAATCCGGACCATATCACTTCAGATGACAAGTAGGAGGCAGAATAGCTCAATAGACTACATTAGAGTCCTGATCTTTGACATCTCCTTTTGTACACTGAGGTTTTGCTGTAGCAGGACACCAGGGCATGGCAACTTTGGCTGTTCCAGGGATTTCAACTCCTCCTAAACCCACTGTGGGCCACACACATCCCAGCACATGTCCAAATATTAGTTGGAAACTGCTGCCATATTTCAGCATCAAACCAAATTTCAGCATCAAACCACAAACAGGAAATATTTGTTTTTAAGGATTTTTTTCTGGCTTGCCACTAAACTCTGGTGGCACAGGGGAGGAAGATTTAGAGGGAAGCGTGTGCCTGTGGGTGCTTTGTAGCCCCCATCTGTTGTGCACAAATATTTCCACCTTTATTGTTTCCCTGACTGCAGCTTAGCTAGCTGGATAGCTCGGTGGGTTAGGCATTTGGTTAACACAGAAACAGGATAGATGCTTGCAGTTCAGTGTGTAGGCTTCACCCTGCCCAATAGAACAAGTATTCCATTTCTCCTTTTGCAGCTAGGTGGAAGGGCAGATTAAAAAGTGACGGTGGAAAAAGAGGACCCAGCTAGCAGTTGAACCAATTGGCACTCAGATAAGCTAATGGAGTGTGTTCCCTTTTCTCCTTGTGCTTAATATGCATGAAAGCAATATCTGTGGTATGTTTGCTTGCCTGCACCAGTATCCCATGAAGCAAAGGAAGAGTAACCCCCACCAAAAGAGATTGAACACAATGTGAAATATCAGTTCTATGAGCTTTAAGCCTGATAAATTATTATTATTAGGCTTATAGGTAGATGAAGTAAACTGAAGAATTGTGTGAATATGAATTCTCGGAAAAACCAAGGGGTCTAGAAGGACCGGAGAGAAACTCAGAAAATGAAACTAAGATTTCTGAAATTGGTAGTGTTTAAGGTCTTAAGATTGTCCCTGATGCCTATAAGGTATTTTGAAGGTCAAACTCTACATTACTACTTAATGTTCAGTGCTTGAAAGTCATTAATTTGTGTTTTTCAGGTATAAAGCCATGACAGGAAGCAAAGGGATTTTTTTTTAATATTACACAGCTCAAAACGCAGGCAAAAATTGTGGAGAATGAGACATACAAGACAGCAGCCATAGGATTAACCTTCTGTGGTTAGCCCAGCAAGGTATGTTTTCATTGGTCCCAGTGGGAGCTTCCTTTCTACCTAGTGTTAATAGCATTGACAGGTGATTTTCACTGGAACAGCAATGGGGGTATAGTTACACCTTCCCCACAGGCCACAGTCATGCACTTGTTCAGGGACTCCCACAGCAGCAATATATTTTTTTTAAAAAAAATGCATCAACTATGTTAAAATAATGTGTAGTGTGATCCTGAGATGAATTGAAGTATTGCATTAATATTATGTAGCAACTTATCCCAATTGGTCACACTCCAACTTTCCTGAGCAGAATGAAATTGTAAGTCCATTTATTTATTCCCTGTATTTTTAGGCACCTCTCTAACCAACACAGCTCATCTTGAAGATTACAGAAGGGAAGCCAAGCTTCCGTCTTGGGGTAGGGAGTTCTGCAAATAAGCGGCCACTGCTGAAAGAGCCCTACCTGTCTTGCCAGCCAGTCTCATTTCTGTCGAAACTGGGCAAGCCTGCAGGATGTACAGTCGTATGAAAAAGAAAGTGTACCCTTTTTGGATTCTACAGTTTTATATATCAGAACATAATTAAAATCATCTGGTCCTTGGTAGGTCTGAAAATTAGGTAAATACAGCCTCAGGTCTGCAACAATGAATCCCATATTACACTGTGACATGATTTATTTAACAAAAATAAAGCCAAAACAGAAGCCATTTGTGAAAAATTCAGTACACCTTATGAATCAGTAACTTGTAGAACCACATTTAGCAGCAATAACCTGAAGTAATCATTTTCTGTATGACTTTATCAGTCCCACATCATTGCGGAGGAACTTTGGGCCATTCTTCTTTAATATGTTGTTTCAGTTCATTGAGGTTTGCAGGCATTTGTTTATGCCTAGCTCTCTTAAGGTCCCACTACTTCATTTCAATAGGGTTGAGGTCTGGACTTTGACTGGGCCATTGCAAAACCTTGGTTCTTTTCTTTTTTTAGTCATTCTGTTATAGATTTGCTGGTGTGCTTGGAGTCATTGGCCTGTTTCATGACACAATTTTTGGCCAAGCTTTAGCTGTCGGACAAATGACCTCACATTTGACATACAGATATACATGCAAGATATACAGAGGAGTTCATGGTCAGTTCAATGACTGCAAGGTGCCCAGATCCCATGGCTGCAAAACAAGACCAAATCATCATGCCTCCACCACCATGTTTGACAGTTGGTATGTGGTGTTTGTGCTGATATGCTGTGTTTGGTTTTTGCTAAATGTGGTACTGTACATTATAGCAAAACATCTCCACTTTGGTCTCATGTGTCCAAAGGATATTGTTCCAGAAGTCTTGAGGTTTGTCCAGACGCAACTTTGCAAACCTAAACCATTCTATCCTGTTCTTTTTAGAGAGAAGAGGCTTTATCCTGGCAACCCTTCCAAACAAACTATACTTGTTTAGTTTTTTCTAACTGTACTGTCATCAACTTTAAAATTTAACATACTAACTCAGGCCTGTAGAGTCTGAGATGTAACTCTGGGGTTTTGGCAATTTCTCTGAGCATTGCAGTGTCTGACCTTGGGGTGAATGTATTTGGATGTCCACTCCTGGGAAGTTTAGCAAGTGTCTTGAATTTTTTTTCCACTTGTGAATAATCTTCCTCGCTGTAGAATGATGGACTACCTAATTTTCAGACCTGCTAAGAATCACATGATTTTTATTATGTCTTGATATATAAAGCCATGGAATCCAAAGGAAGTACATTTTCTTTTTCACATGACTATATGTAGTAGAACTGAATATTCAGGCAGGCTTGTGTGTGTGTGGGTGTGTGTGTGCACGCAAGCACATTATTAAAAGTAATTCAGTACGAAACTGGTCATG